TCGGTCGTTTTGCCTCGCGCGCAATCACTCGCCGTCTCTGTTTCGCTCGGTCGCTCTGTGAAGGCCGGCACGGCACACGCGGGGGTGGGGGGCCAGCACCGTGCACGGCCGCCTTTGTCTCCCCAGTGGCGATGTTTTTTTTGCGCACCGCACCACGCACTCGTTTTGAGACTGAGTCGACCTAGAGGAGACTCGGATGATCGTGGTGTTAGCCGTGAGCGAGAATCCAACTCACTGTCTCGCTCACACTCCCTCATACTAGCATTCACACATTCACACATTCACACTCGGCTCTGTCACTCAAATACTCACTCACTGTCACACTCTCGCACACTCACTCTCTCTCACACACTCACTGTTACACTCTCACACACTCACTCACACTCACTGTCACACTCTCACACACTCACTCACACTCACTGTCACACTCTCACACACTCACTGTCACACTCTCACACACTCACTGTCACACTCTCACACACTCACTGTCACACTCTCACACACTCACTGTCACACTCTCACACACTCACTCACACTCACTGTCACACTCTCACACATTCACTCACACTCTCACACATTCACTCACACTCACTCTCACACACTCACTCTCACACACTCACTCATAATCACTCTCACACACTCACTCTCCCTCGCACTGCAGAACAAGGGGGGGTGGGGGAGGACATGCAAACTCCAAAATATACAAACGCGATTACAGCCACGACCTCCTGCATACCACGCGAAGGAGATAGCATCTATCTCACTCACTCCTTGCCTTGGAAATGTAGAATTTCTCCCGACTAGCACGGTTGGCTACGTAAGAAGATTGACATACATACAAGGTGGCTAGGAGATGTTAACTACCTCGCCTGGTGTACAGGAGGTCGTGAGATCAAGCCCGACCCTGACGTCTGCTACTGTATATTTGGAGTCTGCGTGTCTCTCTCTCATCATCATCATCACGGCGGCTAAGAGCTGTTAACTACCTCGCCAGGTATACAGGAGGTCGTGAGTTCGATCCCGACTCTGACGGCTGCTGTATGTTTGGAGTTAGCGTGTCTCTCTCATCATCACCATCACGGTGGCTAGGAGATTTTAACTACCTCGCCAGATATACAGGAGGTCGTAAGTTCGATCCTGACCCTAACAGCTGCTGTATATTTGGAGTTAGCGTGTCTCTCTCTCATCATCATCACGGCGGCTAGAAGCTGTTAACTACCTCGCCAGGTATACAGGAGGTCGTGAGTTCGATCCCGACCCTGACGGCTGCTGTATGTTTGGAGTTAGCGTGTCTCTCTCATCATCACCATCACGGTGGCTAGGAGATTTTAACTACCTCGCCAGATATACAGGAGGTCGTAAGTTCGATCCCGACCATAACAGCTGCTGTATATTTGGAGTTAGCGTGTCTCTCTCTCATCATCATCACGGCGGCTAGGAGCTGTTAACTACCTCGCCAGGTATATAGGAGGTCGTGAGTTCGATCCCGACCTTGACGGCTGCTGTATGTTTGGAGTTAGCGTGTCTCTCTCATCATCTTCTTAGTTCTTTCGGTAAAGTCACGTTGAAGGGAAACAATAAAATAATAAAATATATATAAAACAATAAAAATTCTCACGACGTTTCGACCATAACACAAACGGTCGTCTTCAGGTGTGTCGGTTTGCATACATTTATTTATTTTTAAACGGTGTATTTATTTATTTATTTAAAAAACGTCAGCGCCACGCGCAGCGATTTCGCAGTTTATTTAGAAGGACTAGTCCATCTATGTTCTGAAAAGAGGAGGGGGGAGACGATTTTTTTGTGATGATGATTGCAACACAAGCAATCATCATCAGGTGTGATGATTGCTTGTGTTGCAGTCGAAACGTCGTGAGAATTTTATTGTTTTATATTTTTATTATTTTATTGTTTCCCTTCAACGTGGTGACTTTACCAAAAGAACCAAGAATAAAAATAGTTTAGTTTAGTCTCAATGGACCGCTATGTATCTCTATGAATCTATATGGGTCTCGATGGGTCCCTATGCATCTCTGTGGGTCTCTATCCATCTCTGTGGGTCTCTAACCATCTCTGTGGGTCTCTACGCATCTCCGTGGGTCTCTATGCGTATTTGGCTGCTATGAATCTCCACATGATAAGCCACTTCCGTTTGCGATAGCTAGGGTCGCTCAGTGGGGCCTTACCTGGTAAAAAGAAAATAAAAATCACGTTTTTACGGACATACAATTTCCGCCACCACAATTTGCTCATTTGTGGAGGGCCAACATTTTTTTGGCACGTCAATTTTGTATTTCTTCACTAACCAAAGAATTTGCGTGTTTGAACGAATTCTCCGTTTTACGTCCAGCCCGAGGTGATGTTGGCAGGCCATTTCAGAAAGCCCGCATTCACGACGACATTCCTGACGTAACCTCCCTTCAATATTTACGGCCCAAATTTTTTTCTATTTTTTTTTTTACTTTTACGACCGTTATTTTAATTAACTTTAAGAAGAAATAAAAAAAATGGTTACATGTTACGGCTTCACACTCTTTGGTTCTTTCGGTAAAGTCACGTGGGTAGAAAAATAAATAAAAAATATCACGATGTTTCGATCGCAACACAAGCGGTCGCCCTAAGGCGGTCAGAATAATTCAGCAGTGGCAACGTTTTTCTTCCTGGCTCAGCAGTTTCCACTGCTGGATTGTTTTTTTTTCCCGCCCGAGGACGACCGCTTGTGTTGCGATCGAAACGTCCTGTAACATTATCCTTGGTTCGTTCGGTAAAGTCGCATAGGTAAAGAAAATAACAAAAATACATTAAACCACGACGTTTCGGACACAACACTACTTCAGCAACTGTTTTTTTTTTTTGCTGTGGTTGTCCCACCTGATGTTGTGTCCGAAACGTCGTGATTTAATTTATTTATTTTTATTTTCTTTACCCACGTGACTTTACCGAAAGGACCAAAGAGTACGGATTCCTGCAGTCACGAAAGCTTCAAATCAAGATTTTACGGTTTGGCATTTTTACTTAACAAATATAGCGTGCAAAAATAAAAAAACGTTGTTTTTGTGAGCTTTGGAGTCTCTGCAAAGTAGTCCGGCTTTTGTTTTCAGACAAAGCTCCACCACACCGAGTACTCATTTGAGGCCGAGTCGACCTAGGGGAGGTCCATGATCGTCACCCGGTGTTGCTGGTGGCCACGGGCGGGAATCGAACTCGGGTCGCCGGGGTTCGAAGCGCAGCGGTGCTCACCGCTGCGCCACCGCTCCCCCCCAAACGCAAAACAAAGACAAAGATCCCCCAGCTTAAAAATTAGCAGGCTTTCGCGACCAATATTATTCATCATAAAGGTTTTTGGGCAAGATCGCGTAAGTCTAAATTCGCCAAATCGATTTGGCAAATCGCCCGATGATGCTGGATGCAATTACTGGCGAAACGTCGTACTCAGATTGTGAATGTTGTGGAGTCACTCTTCAACACACACCGGTGGGCTGAAGAAGTAGTCACTATTCGGCGTTTTGTTTACGTGACAAATCCACTTACTGATTGACCATGTCAGGTGGTGGAGATTTTCGACACTTTTATATTCACGCGATCTCGCCCAAAAACCTTCAGAATGAACAAAAATCCCCCGTACAGCCTCAACAGACTGGAGGGGCAAGTGCCGTTAGCGAGTAGCAGCACCTGTGAAGGCCGGCCACGGCACACGAGGGGGTGGGGTGGGCCAGCACGCCACGCCCGAACGCCTTTGTCTCCCCAGTGGCGATGTTTACTACACACCGCACCAGCTCCTCACTTCAGACTGAGTCGACCTAGGGGAGGCCCGCAAGGGTTCAGATACATATCTCCCGCTGTTGTCGCTCGCGAGCGGGGAAACCGAACGCGGGGGTCGTTGGCCGCGAGCGGGAATCGAACTCGGGTGCGACCGGGTTCGCAGCGCGGCTGGCCGACCTGCGACGCGGCCCCCTCCCGCACAGGGCTCGCTCGTGCTGTGCTGTCGCTCGCTCGCTGTGCTGTTGTTCACTCACGCCGTGCTATCGCTCGCTCGCTCGCTAGCTGTGCTGTTGTTCACTCACGCCGTGCTATCGCTCGCTCACTCGCTCGCGTGCCATGCTGTTGTTCACTCACGCCGTGCTATCGCTCACTCGCTCGCTAGCTGTGCTGTTGTTCACTCACGCCGTGCTATCGCTCGCTCGCTCGTGCGTTGTGCTGTTGTTCACTCACGCCGTGCTATCGCTCGCTCGCTCGTGCGCCGTGCTGTTGTTCACTCGCTCCGTGCTATCGCTCGCTCACTCACTCACGCCGTGCTATCGCTCGCTCACTCGCTAGCGCGCCGTGCTGTTGTTCGCTCGCTCCGTGCTGTCGAGCCACAACGCCTCAAAGGGGGTTTCGGGGAAATGTGGTTTTCATGTCGTCGCGAGGCTGCTGGCCAACGCGTGGGAAGGAGGCGATGCGTGTCGCCTACTCCGGAGGCAGTAAAAATAATAATAATAATAATTTACATGTACCTGTAAGGCGCCTTCCACCAACGTCTCTCAAGGCGCCTTGTAAGAACAAGGATAAGACAAGGGCCAAGAGAGAAGCTAAACGGAATGAACTGACTTAAGAAGAGACTTCACAGTACGCACACTGTCGGACGAACGAATTTCCAACGGTAGGGAATTCCACAAACCGTGGCGCAGCCACAGCGAGTCGCCCGCTCACCCCAGGAACGCAGCCGAGATCCAGGCGTGCACACACACAAGGGCGGAGTCTGCAGATCTTAACGACCTTGAGGGGGTCGTACGGATGAATGAACAATATTCGGGCAACCGTCAGCGTCCTTCACAAGCCTCCTCCCTCCTCCTCCTCCTCCTCCACAGAGGTTCGACCTGAACACCGCCGGTAACGTTCATTGGCAAAGTCCGCTCGGCACCACGTCCTCCTGTGCAGAGGCCGTCGACCCATCTCCACGTCAGCGACTCGCGGGCGGGAGCAACGGGCGCAGCCAGCGAGCCCGCGACACTTACATTGAGCCTCTTGAGAGGCACGGCTGACCAGTCGACGCCCTTGAACCACCGGTGGTTCTTCACATCCTCGGCCCCGTTCTGTTCGGGAGACACGGGGACAGGGCGGCGGGCGTGGGCGACACGTTACAAGAAGACGAAACGAGAGAGATGAGCGGGACAAACGTCTCCTTCACGTACGACGATCCGTCTCCCTCCGTGTAAAATAAATAATAATGTTGTTTTCCTCTTACCCAACCCCTCGGCCGCACGGCCACAAGCAATGCAAAGCCCAGGGCAGGAGCGCAAACTGTAAGAAAGGGAAGCAAATCACTAAAAGCTATTGGAACTAAACAGTGTTTGAATTTTTACCGGGTAAAAGCTCACCGGGCCATCAGCTTTGTGTCGTTGCAGAAGCGTCAAACGACAGCTCAACAAAGTGGCTTATCACGTGGGAAATGTCAAGCAGCCAAATCAGAATCAGAATGTTTATTTATGCTACTGGAGGAATCCGATGAGCTATGAAGCTCTTTGTCACAGATATCCAGTCGGGGTCACAGGAGTGCAAAGTACAGGAAAGTAAAAAAAATCAATAACAAACTAGTTTCCGAAGTCACTTAGAAGGGAAACAATAATAATAAACAATAGGACCAACACCTCGGCCGTGGCAGATCACTGTTATAATTCAGTAGGTTCACATGACATTGACTTCTCCAAGACAGAGGTTCTTTGCAAGCCATCTGGCTATCATGAGAGATTCGTTCATGAGGCTATCCACATATACAAACACAGAGACAATTTCAACCGAGAAGATGGATTCTGGCTTAGCAATCATTGGAAGGATTTGATAAACCATTTCGGGTCTTAATTGATTGATCACGCTTAAGGTGGCTTTCAGACCGCATCCATTATTTTCGTCTCCCCCCTCCTCTTTTCCGAACATAGATGGACTCGTCCATCTGAACAAACTGTCAAATCGCTCTCCATGGTGCTAACGTTAAAAAACCGCCACATTTTTCAAGTTTTCTTGTTGTGGTTTCCACACCTGATGATGATTGCTTGTGTTGCAGTCGAAACGTCGTGATAATTTTATTGTTTTATATTTTATAATTTTATTGTTTCCCTTCTACGTGACTTTACCGAAAGAACCAAGAATATGATCCCTGCAGTCACGAAAGCTTTAAATCAAAATTTAGTTTTCAAAGCTTTCGTGACTGCAGGAATTACTCTTTGGTTCTTTCGGTAAAGTCACGTGGACAATAAAATCAAATAATAATAGAATACTACGCTTCGGTTGCAACACATGCAGCCATCAACAGGTAAGAATGAATGATAAAACACAGACACGCAAACATGTGTGTCCGCCTTTGTTGTTTCCATTTGAACCACCTCTATACGGGGAGGGTTTGCTCACAACTCACACTTTTAAATTTTGATTTAAAGCTTTCGTGACTGCAGTAATTCATATTCTTAGCTCTTTCGGTAAAGTAACGTTGAAGGGAAACAATAAAATAATACAATATATATAAAACAATAAAAATTCTCACGACGTTTCGACCATAACACAAACGGTCGTCATCAGGTGTGTCGGTTTCGCATTAACTTATTTATTTTTAAAACGGTTCTTATAAATAAATAAATCGTTCAAAAAAAAAATAATGCGAACCGACACACCTGATGACGACCGTTTGTGTTATGGTCGAAACGTCGTGAGAATTTTTATTGTTTTATTTATATTTTATTATTTTATTGTTTCCCTTCAACGTGACTTTACCGAAAGAGCTAAGAATATAACTCACACTTTACTTCTAATTTAACAATCTTTGGGAGCACGTTAATCAACAAGGCAATACGTTAACTGTGTGTTAGCCAACTCTCTCCGTCGCATTGCATTACACTTCTTAATTTTACTAAATTTGTTTTCTCAAACTTTAGATTTTTTTTTTTTAACTCTAAACCATTGTCTCGCCTCCGGCCACTGTGGTGCGGAATTCCAGACTGCTCCCTCATTGTCCCCTCCGTTTGACTGCTGGTCCCCTCGTTTGTCCGCCTCCCCAGTCCTCTCTTGGTGTGTGTCTCGCTCGGTGTGTGTCTCGGCACGTGCGTCTGTCTGCGTTGTTTTCCGTGTCTGTGTTTTATCACTCGTTCTTACCTGATGATGGGTTGCTTGTGTTGCAACCGAAACGTCGAAATTCTATTATTATTTGATTTTATTTTCTACGTGACTTTACCGAAAGAGCCAATGAGTAAATCACTGACACAATATAAAACAAAACGATATTCACTGAGCTGTTAGCTTATTTTTCAGAAGCGACCTGACCATCGCAAATGACAGCTCAGCAAAGTTGCTGATATCATCACCATCATCATCACGTGGAGATTTACAGCAGCCGCCAAATACTCTGCATAGAGATTCATAGAGATTCAGAGACCCACAAACGACAACTCAGCCAAAGAGTCTAAACGTATAGAGATGCATAGATACCCATAGAGATGCATAGAGATGCGCAGACATCCATAGAAACGCACAGAGATTAACAGAGACCCATAGAGACCCATAGAGACCCATAGAGACCCACAGAGATGAACAGAGACGCATAGAGACGCACAGAGATGCATAGAGACCCACAGAGATGAACAGAGATGCATAGAGACCCACAGAGATGTACAGAAGACCCATAGACGAATCTAAAATATTTTTATTTATTTTATTTTACCAGCTAAGGCCCACTTGAGCTACATAGCAGCCCTTCTTCAGAAGCGACCCGCACATCACAAACGACAACTCAGCGGAGCTGGCTTCGTCACCACCACCACCATCATTACGGCACGGGACATTTGTAAAGGGGGGTAGCGTGGGGGGGGGGGGTGTGGACGTACGGGGGGGGGAGCGCGGAGGGGGGGGGCGGAGGCACGGGGGAGGGGGAGCGCGGGGTGGGGGAAGGGGGGGGTGGAGGCACGGGGGGGGGAGCGCGGAGGGGGAAGGGGGTGGAGGCACGGGGGGGAGCGTGGGGGGGGGGGAGCGCTAGGGGGGGGGGCGGAGGCATGGGGGCACTCATGTGTGTGCCCGGAGCGTTTTAAATCCAGACCCAGCTGGGCGCAAGGTGTTGTCGATTTGAACCCTCCCCGGGGGGGGGGGGGGGTGGTGGGGGAGTTGGGGTCACATCGCTCACCATCGGGCGTGTTTCTTATTCCCTGCCTAATCACCCCTCGTGCAACCGGAGATATTTCTAAGTGGGACTTTTTTTCTTATGCTTCTCCGTACGAAACTAATAAGGGAGTTTTTTTGGGGGGTTTTTAAACGCCCGCCGGTTAAAGTTTCACGAGCGAATAGACGTCGTCGTCGTCGTCGTGATTATCGTCGGCCGTGGTCGATCTGCTGCTGGATACCGCGATCAGCTCACTAGATGAACTGTCGCTTCACGCGACCGTGAGATTATTATTACGATGGGGGTGTGGGGAAGGGGGTTGTATGTATGTAGAACTTTTTTCGCACCATACTAATCATCCTAACCATCATCCCCACCATCATCATAACCACCATCATCATCACCACCATAACCAGGTAAGGGCCACTGAGCTGTACAGCTGTTTTTCGGAAGCGACCTGGCCACAAATGAAAGCTCAACGAAGTGGCCCCATCATTAGGACATTTAAAGAAGCAGCCACATACTCTCAAACACGTGATTCTAAATGTGGAGGGAAAAACCGGAGGATCCGGAGAAAAATCCACGCGACCACGGGGAGAGAGACACCGCTAACTCCAAATATACAGCAGCAGCAGCAGGCATCAGGGGTCTGGATCAAACCCACGACCTCCTGTACACCAGGCGAGGTAGTTAACATCTCATAGCCACCGTGGCGCCCTCACCATCATCACCACCACCATCATCATCACCATGTATGTATGTATACTTCTTTCGCACCGTACATAGCCAACCGTGAATAATCGGAGGTGCGGGCGGTTTTGTAAAGGACGACAAACTATCTTCTTTGGTTCTTTCGGTAAAGTCACGAAGAATGAGAATAAAATAATAAATTGATAAAATAAAATAACACAATAATATTCTCACGACGTTTCGGCCACAACACAAGCGGCCTTCATCAGGTGAAGGGACGAGACTGTCTGGTAGTCTCGTCCCTTCTCCTGATGAAGGCCGTCCCTTCACCTGATGAAGGCTGCTTGTGTTGTGGCCGAAACGTCGTGAGAATATTATTGTGTTATTTTATTTTATCAATTTATTATTTTATTCTCATTCTACGTGGTGACTTTACCGAAAGAACCAAAGAAGATGAATCATTGCAGTCACGAAAGCTTTAAGACGACAAACTAAACACAAAAAGCTATTAAAAAACATTACAATGACAACAAATGGGATTGGGGGGGGGGGTTGTTTGGGATGCCTTCATCCAGCAGCGGATAGACCACGGCCAGACGACGAGTCTCCGACGACGATTCTCTCGCGCAAGCCAGGCGCGTCGTCGGGCCGCGAGAGTTGCTGGCGGGCTCGGGGAGCCCTTCGTCCAGCAGCGGATCGATAACGGCTCCTGCTGCTGACTATGACGACTGGGTTAGGCCCGGTGCAAACGAGCCCTAAGTTGACGTTTGTTCTGAGTAAGCGCCAGCGCCCGGATGTGACGTCCGTTGTTCAACTCTCCCCCCCCCACCCCCCCGTCCGAAGTCCTTTATTTAACCCCTTCGGTCACCGTTGCCGGTCGCGGGCGGCTGGGGCGCGACCGTGCTTCACCGCCGCCGCTGCCGCCGGTGAAGTCGACGGCGCGGCTGGGCGATGGGAAGGGCGCCCGGCAGTTTTCCGGGGGGGTGTTAGCCCTCAAGGCGTCGCTCGCCGCTCACGTTGGCAGCCCTGGGCCGGGAATTGAACCCGGGTCACCGCACTCGCGGCGCAGCGCGTCGCTAATCGCTGCTTCGCCGCTCGGCTCCGGAATAATTACCGCCGACAAAATTGTCTTAACCTTCAACGGCGCAACTTCAACCCCGATGATGATGGTGACGGTGACGATGACGGCTAGCACGGTTGGCTCCGTTACGGCGCGAAAGAAGTTCAACGTACACACGAACATGGTGATGATGGCGACGATGT